TTAATGTGAGTTGTATGACAGCTTATGACCAAAAGAGCTTTTTGTTAATAAAACCAGTATTTTCTATTATTTAGGATATTGATTTCTAGCTAGCAGGATGGAGATCTGCCCAGAGAGTTGTGGAATCTCTGCTCTTGGAAGTGTTCAGGGCCTGCTGGGACAAAGCTCTACACAGTCTAGTCCACAGTCAGTTTTGCCCCTGCTTTGAGCAGGAGACCTTCCAGCCTCTGATTCAGTGGTTACTGTGTTGACTTTCAGACGTATGTTTTGTGATTAAGATGGGTGTGTTCCCTCCCTAGACAACAGCCCTACACTCCCTCCACAGGCAGGTTCAAAAATGAAAATTACCACAAAATTCAATGATGACATTCAGACAGTATTAATTCTCCCTACTCTGTAACAGTGGTTATGTTTTGGTAGAACTGCTCTTCCCTGGAAAGGACAGGACAATGTTCTTACACAAAAATTAACTCTTAAAATCAACAAACTGGAATAGGAGAAGGCCATTTTGTCCTTCACATATGCACAGCGTGCTCAGGCTCCTTAAACCAAACTAGCTCTCTGGAAAGGCCTTATTCCTTAAGTTGATTATCTTTGTTTATGTAGTCTAGAACTAGCAATGCTAGTTTGAGTCTCACATTAATGATCTTGAATTTTCTCATCAGAAATTCCATTTTCTCCTGAATTTTTGTTAAACCTATTTGTTGCAGCCAAACTTGCCTTTTGTTACAGCCATAGAATTGCCCTTTTTATCCTCGTCCTTTTCATCTGTCCAAAAGGTATTTATTTGCTGAATAATTCATGGTGGGAAACGTCTTAAAACAGGATCCTATTAAACCTGCCATAAAATATTAAAAACTATGTTTCCCTCTCACCTACAATTATGGATGTGATACCAAAATTTCACTTATCCTAAGGTAGTGGAAAAGTCAAGTATTTTAATAGTTCTGTTTCAAGTCAAAAAGCAAAACAGGCAGTCAGGATACAAAACACTGAACTATCTTGGTGCTTTTCAGATGTGCTGCAGTTCCTTGACTTCAATCAGGGTGAAGTCCTACAGAACTTACATAGTTGAGTAAACAACTTCCTACTTGTACAAATGTTTCTGCAGAGATATTTCAGAAATTTGCCTTGAAATTAGCTCTACTACACAGCTCTCTCCTCCCTTTTTCTCCTGAGTTGCCTCAAAATAGCCTACAATAGATCCTTGTATTACCTTATTTTCATCTAAATTAGAATTTGCCGTATGTTTATTTTGGTTCAGTCATCAGGGTTTTTTTCATTATCCAGTTAAATGTAGGTATCCACAGGATAATGCACCTTCAATTTTGCTGAGTACAGGAGACCTGGTGTGCTATTCAAAGCTGGAATGGTTGGTGTCGAGTTTACTAGATGAAGGAAAGTGAATGCAGCATTCAGGGCATGTGCAACCAGATCTTTTTGTCCCATAACTTGAGACATACAATAAAGATGACATTTGTAGTCTGAAGAATCAAAAAAACTAAGGTATAGTTTCTTTTCTTGTCTTGTTTAAAAGACCTTTGGAGCACCTGATACAATTACTGCTGTCTGATATGTTATGCCTTTGATAATTTTTAGAAGGTTTGTAAAAAGAATGCTTTTATCCTCAATTTCTGTAGGAGTGGAATTTTCCATACATCAGTGTACCTAACCTTTGTCTTTCTGACATGGTGTTTGAGTATGACAGTCTTAAGTACCTGTACACAAAAGGAGAAACCTTCTTCTAAGTAACTTTAGACTGCATTGCATCATGGAAGAAGCAGTGTAGTTAGCAGAAATGAAATATCCTAGAATTTTTATCTACTTAAAGTGACAGGAAAGAAAGAAATGCTAAAATGTGGAAAAATAGGGAAAATGTGAAAGTAAAGTTTTGGTTTCAGTATTGGTTTACCAGTTAGTCCATAACATCTTGAATGTAAAATTTGACTATTCTAACTCAGGCCTGCTTTTTCCTAAGCAAAATAGATGCAACCGGGGCTCTGAAAGAAAGATACACCCTGTTTTCACTTGAAACTAATTAATTGCCTTTCCTTGAAGAAATGTTGTTTTCTTTTTGTTTGTTACTCAAACACTGTTTCCTGTCAGAATGGATAATGTTTTACAGGAAACTGAGGTTTGTTTTTTTTCAGAATGAAATTGCTTTCCCATCAGTCATAGGAGCCAATAACTTTTTGCTTTCCTTGTCCCTGATTCAGTCACATGTAGATGAATGGACTTGGATCCTTCTCCTACCTTGGCTGCAGCCTGTTACTCTACAGGGATTGTGGAATGCTCCCTGAGCAGCATTACAATGTTAAACAGCACATGACCATATTGTAATCTTCCACTCTTTTTTTTTTTTCTCCAGGAATACTTTGACCTTAACTGATGTATTTTAAACTTTAAGAAGCAGTTTAGCCAAAGTCCTTGACTGAACTGAATTTTTATGGTAAAGAAAGGAACGTACTGGCAGTTTTTATAAAAATTCAATTGTGATTTACTGTAGTCCTTTTTGCTAGCATGCTGCCATCCATTTTCAGTCTTAAGGCCCATCAATTTCGAAGACTTTTTCTCTTGAGGGATCAAAACATTCTGCTAGCTGTGCTTGCTTTTACCCATGGTGAAAACATGACCTAACACGTGCTTTTGGATTCCGTAGACACTGAAAGCTTTAGCTCCAGAGCCGCTTCAGCATGTCATTCAGCTTATGAATTTGTCCAAGTTACAATTTTCTTAATAAAGAAAACTGTCAAACTTTATAAACAAGGAGTACTCCCAATCCACCAAATGAAATCTAAAAGTGAGAGATCCTTTGCAATTATTTAAGCCAAAGGGAGCTTTGTGGCAAATGCAAATTAAACCAAGCTTTTCTAGGATAGTGTGAAGCTATTCACAGTTGCGTCCCAATTACATTTTATTTGAGGCTTTCCCCCACAGGAAATAGTAATTTTTTTCCCCCTGAAATATCTCTAAGTTATAAAACTTTGCCTATCTCAGCACTTGAAGTTTTTTAAAAGGAAAAACATGTTTGGCATCTGAAATCTCTTGAGAATAAAAACCAAGCTTTTTATTGAAGCTTGTTAGTCTTTTCTGTTTGACAGCTTAATAATTTTGCAGAGAACAAAGTAAACTTGAGTTTTTCTGAATTTTTTTTTCTTTAAGTGAGCATTACCAGTATGAAGGGATATCTTGTGTCATGAAATTGCTATGTCTCTTTCCCCTGGGTTTTTAAGAAATGTTTGAGAGGTGGGGAATGTAATTAAAATCTTATTCTCCCTTTGGCTGCGTTTTTAATTTTGAATTCAAACCCTCACACAGCATAATAGAGCTTTGCGTTAGGGTGTTTTATACCTCTATCAAAGTGACTAAAGTAATTAGTATTTTATACATTTTGGTAGGTATTTTGTCACTGGAAGCACCAGTGCAGGTGAATGATAATGGTTTGAAGCTCAGGCAGTGACAGACCCTAAATGAGAATGTCGCCTTTTAATCAAGAGCACTTGGAGTCTATGGTATTGAAATGCCCTACAGAGAGCACAGAAAAGCCATCCATCACTTTGTGACAGTCCAATCTTATAGCACATGAGTAAAATTTTATTCAGCCTTTCTAAGGCAGTTGGGATGTAGGATGTTTTAACCCACCTCAAAACAGCAGTGTAAAAGTTTGAAGGCACAATGTACAGATTGCTTTCTGTGTCTTTTATGTATTATCTTTATTTGTTCAGATTGCAACTGAAAGGTTTTCCATGTCCTGCTTCTGACACTCCCCCCTTACTCTATATACCCAACAGCAGAGATTATCTCTGAATGTTAGTCATATGTTTGGAGTTAATTTGCATAGTTGATTAACCCCTGATGCTCAGCAGAAATACTCAGCAAGATAGAGGGGAAAGAGCTACTGCTTAGGAAGGGCAGATTTTGTAAGTTTGCACAGATGAGTGGTTGGACACATGACTCAGAAGTCCTCTGGGAATGCTTAGAAGCTGAAGTACCTTTAGTGACACATGTACATGGAATTATAAACTATTTTTATAATAGTTCAACAATCTAATTTCAAGCTTTGTGTTGTCATGTTTGTTTTTGACAACCCTCCTTCAGCTTTCTTCAGAAGTGAAGGCAGCAGTAGCATCTGAGGACAATGTGCTAATTGAAACAAAAATATTTTTTGTTGTCAGGCCTTTGGGAGATTTACTTCTGATGTCAGTGGAAGCAGAAACCTATACCAGGACCCTTGTCTTTTAAGATGAGTTGACAGTGATGTAACCCAGTGACTTAAATAGGTTTACTCCCAATTTTCACTGTATACATGAATGTCTTGCCAGCCCTACTAGCTGCTTGAAATCAAGGACATTGATCTGCACTGTACTGGTTTTGGGTGGCTACTACTCAGGGTGTTTTCTGTTCAGTAAATTCAGTTTTGCAGTGCCCTGTGGAACAAAATTTGCTGTAAATATGCAAGATTAGGGTTTTTTTCCTTCCTTGCATTTGAACATTTTCAAGCTTAACTATTTTTTGTCCTATCCCAAAATAAGGTAGGGCCTGTGAAGGGAGAATATTCCTGAAATGCTACCATGAACCAGAGTGCTGAGAAATAAAAGGCTGGAGAAATTGTACTGGGCTTCATTTCAGTGAGTGGAATGGAAGAGGAAAAAGGTTTTTCCTTCTGAATCCAAGAACTAGTAAAATGCAGCCAGGTGAGGAAGAAATGTTTACACATCTTACTGAATAAGTCTTTCCAGCAAACATTTCTGTCACAGACATGGAGAGAGTAAATCTTGTTCAAGAGAGTGCTATTTCTTCAGTCCTACATTGCTACTGAGTCTTCACTGAGTTTGTTTTCAGAAACACACTATGGTAATATTGTTGGCAGTGAGAAATTTTTTAGCCATCATTTTAACTTGAGCTTAAGCACATCTAATTCTGACACCTTTCTCTGTGAATTATTTCCAGCAGTGTAAAGAGCTGCATTTTTTTCTGCCAGAGGGTACATGTTCAAGTTTTAATGGCTCCTGTCATGTCATTATGCAAAGTTAAATGATTTACATATTCAGAATGTGCAAGAGCCCAGACCAGCCTTGTTATAGTGAGAGCTAATATATTAATCAAACAGCTTAATGTATGTTCCAGTATAAGCAGTATTAGCTGGCACTCCGTTAAATAGCTGACATTCAAAGTCTACTCCCAATTTTAAAAAGTCTGCTCATATCATCACTGCTGTCATCTAGTGACATTTGTGCTCTGTTTCCACATGGCATTCTCACTCACTGTAATTGTCTGCTAGTGAAAATACAGGTATTATCTATTGATTTTATAAATTACCATTTTCTTCCCTGGCTGCATGCCACAGCTCTGTCAGAGTATCACAGAACTTATACACAACTAAAAGCCGAGTAAGTTGCTACAAATTGGATATAGCTGCTTTAGAAGTAACCTACTACAGGAATAATCAGAGATATACCCTTATTGAAGCTGAGTTAAGGCAACTGTGCCAATGCAGTTACAAATGTCATTGTAGTAGTATTGTGATAATGAATTCGGTTGCCAAAAGTAAGTAAAAATAATTTAAACTATTTATTGAACTTCACATACAAAGGTTGGAGACAAGTGGGTTCCTCAGTAAGCCAAACTGGGTGCGTAGGGCAAAGTTATCACCAAGGGTGAGGTCTTGATTTAGAACCAGACCCCTCATATTACTTGTTTTGCAAGAGTGATGTGCAACACTCTAGTCATGGCTGTAAGACAAAGCCAGTGTTTCAGAAGTAATGGATACAGGAACAAACCAAACCAAAGAACAACATAGGTAATCACCTTCACCTACAATTCTTCTACTCAATATATTGTTAAAACGAACAAATTAATGATTTGCAGAAAACAAAACAGACAGAGGAAATCAATGTTTTCAGTATTGGTTTTGCTTCCTTAAACTAGAACCTCCTTTTCACTTCTTCTGGAATTTATTTATGCATTTACGTTTTGATTTCCCAACACACTGTTCAGTATCTTCTGTTTTTAAATTTGGGTTTAGCACATAAAACTGTAACACCTGGCAAAAATGGCCACTGACAATCATAGTGTACCTTCAGTAATGTGCAAATCCATTTTTTTTCTTAAGCCAGGACACGCATGGCATGTGGTGATAGGATGCCAGAAATGCACATATTTATGTCTTTGACTTATGTTTCATATTTTTATGGGGTTTTTTATGCTTTGCAAAATCCTATTAGTCTAAAATAATAAAAAAAGTTATAGAATATAATCCAAAAGTAAATAGGTAAGAAATTTTACTTCAGTATATATCAGATGTTCTGTTATGCAGTTATAATCCTCGCTAGAGGGAAGAAAAGAAAAAGAATGATGAGTCAAACAAGCACTTTTAGAATAAGCTAATTCCACCTGGTGTTTAGTCCCACCACAGACACCCATCCCAAACCTCATAATGCTGATTCCACCTAGAAATAACCAAAACAAAGAATTCAGCTTCCATGGTCTACAAGTTTTCCTTGTCCTCCCTCTAAATAAAACCAGACAGATGGAGCCACCTTTGGAAATCTTGTGAAAACATCTGCGGTAGGGAATTTGGAACAAAATAGATTGAAAAAATTAATAGATCTACCAAAACCTAATATTGAAGGCAGTATGTGAATAGGCAGCCTCCCAGTGTGTTTTCTGCCACTACAGACAGCATATACAGCAGGGTCCAAATGAGGCTCATTCCTGGGGTTTGGCTTTACTCAAAGGAAACCAGTGTTAAGGTAGCAAAGCTTAGCTCAGGTCTCTTCCCCAGACTTGGCTGCTCTTAGAGCAAACTTACTAGGGCAACCAAGTGTTTGCTGCAGGTTTTCACTCTCTCTCTCAAATTTTTGCTGTCAACCCAGTGAAGTCCTCAGCCAGCTTCCTCCCTTGGGCGACTCTCACCCAGTCCTAGTACATAACAGGGAGGACGGAGTCCCACCCAGCTAGGATGCACTGAATACTCAATAGATGGTCTTGTGGAATGAAATGCAAAACAGAAGCTGATCCCCTCACTATTGCCCTTGTCTGTCCCAGGAGGGATAGAGGTTGGCAGCTTATCATACTGTGGTTGTAGTTAAAATTCAGCTAAAGCACATAAACACACCTTTACAGAGGGAATAAAATTGCACAAGTGGTCCTGTAAGAAGCCTTTGACCTGCTGCCTACATGCCACTCCAGTCAAGGTTGCTTTATGCCTGGGGGATACTGGGAGAAGGAGAACAGAGGCAGGTAACATGAAAAGAGGTGGCAGCATAGACTTCAGTGAGGATTAACAATCAGAGGAAAAGTTGATGGGAGAGCATGAACACAGTTCCTGACGGCTTAGCTGCAGTCTTTACTGCAGTGTTTTTATCATTTGAGGTAAAACTAGTATAAGCATGTTCAGCTGTACTGAAATCACCCCTTCATTTGCCAGTGCAGGTGTACCCTGTAAACGTAGAGCCACTGCAAAGTCTTTGTTGCTAGAGTCTTCAGCAGACTATGGAGAAAAACATATATTGCTTAGTGACTAATGTAGCACAAAATTCCCTGTAGCCCTAGTTACATAAACCACCATTTAAAAGACACAATTTAGTTATAAAGTGCACGTTAAAAGCTGTTCTCTCCTTGAAGTGTATATTGAATTCTCCATAAAGATTGTTTACAAGATCAGTTAAAAGGAAGCTTTAAAGAAGCTATTGAGGGTTTCAGCCCATGGTTACACGTTCTTTCTAGCCTCACTGTAAAGCATTTGGGATTATCCTAGGACACTGAGGGTGAACAGAGTTAAGAGACTGCCTGGGTAGAGAAAATATGCAGGGGACTGGCTGTGAACTGGGCAGGAAGGGGAAGTTTTCCCACACGTGACTGGGGGTTACAGCACACATTGAGCAGTGCATGTTCCCTGGTGACAGGCACTTCCTCACTGTGCTCACGAGACCACCATCACTTCACAGGACTACAAAAGGGATCTGAACTCTTCCTGTTTGTTTGTCCCAGCACATGGCAGTGAAGAATGAACTGCCTTCCAATCAAAACGACCAAGAAAGCAAGCACATTTGGGAGAGATTTGTTCAGCTGATGTTAAAAGTTAAAGATTACCTTTACTGTGCCGTAATTGTTCACGAGGAATCTTTTTTCAGGCCATAAATAATGGTTTGTATTATCACTGTATTACTTTCGAGAAGTGAGTAATATTCCCTGCCTTTAAAAAAACTTTCAAAAACCAAACCTGAAGCATTACATGATGTTTCCTATGCTTTAAATCTTGGTGGTTTAAAACATCGGCTGGACAGATTTGTAGATTCTGGAGACACTTGCAGTTTGTGGCTATAAAGCTGCAGAGGATGTCAGCTGAGACTTCTGCAGGCTGCACGGAAAGAGCATTTCAAAGCTCTGAACTTGCCAGAGTTCATGCCTCTGTGCAGGAGAACATTATTCTGGAAGCAGTGCTTCTGCTCAACTCTTTAATGTTTTTCCAGAAAGGAAAGCACATTAGCTGAGTATCTCTCTTCCACAGTGCTACTGCTAAAAATCAGAGGTTTCAATATGAGCAATGCTGAGTGAGGGAACTGGCATACCTCTACAGCATATCTTTATCTCTGTTCCCAGCATTTAACTGGGATCATAGTACTCACTCTTATTTGCTTTCCAGTCTATCACAGGGCTCTGAAATCATGGTATCAGTTGCACATCTCAGTGATATGCAAGCTACTTTACAGTCCTACACCCCTTTGCCTTGGAGAGGAACTGCTCTTGAATTCTCCATGACAGATCCAGAAGCTACTGCTGGCATTATTCGGGTGTCCACATGGCCCAGAAAAACAGCAGTTGCTGCTCCAGATCCTGCTGCTTCTGCCACTGTGCAAGGGATACTGGCACAAACAAAATCAACACCTGGCCTGCAATGAGAGTTAGCACAACTTTTAGCAGCACCAATAACTGCAGTCCCTTAGGGGTTGGTCTGGAAAAGAAGCGATGTGTAGAATTTGCATTCAGGAATTAATTGGCCTGTCAGGAACAATTCCTTACTCTCCCTCCCAATGCACCTGCAAGATTAGCACTGAATCCACACAGAAAAAAAAACATTTAAGACAGTAAGCATAATATGTAAGTGTATCAAGCTGCAGAAATTAAGGACTATGTGAATAAGGAAGCTTCTTCCTTCCCCTTTACTATTTAGCTATTTTTATTTGCTTTTTCTCAAAATACTAGTTACTGTTTTGAGGTATTGTTGAGATGCTACTCAGAGCCTGTTTCATAAAAACCAGAATACTTAGAAGAAGGTCACTGAAGGGGCAAAAGTGATAAAGTAATTATCTGTAGGACTGGATTTAAACCCAACCAAATGGTACCAAACAAAAGGCAAGAATGCGTTGAAGAATAACTGTGAGTGCTGCTTCCTCTACTTAAGAGAATTTACACTGATAATGAGCAGTATCAGAGATAATGAATTAATCAAAAATAATCTTGCATCTCAAGCCTTGTCTTTCTCAAGATGGACTAATGTTTGCTGCTGAAATCTGAAGTGCTAGGAGCATGCATGTGCCAGAATACACTCTGAAACCTAGGAACTCAGTGTGCAAAGCCACTTTACTCAGGATTGATGAAGAGATTTTCTCTGCTCACTGCCACATTATGTACGTGTTTCTAAACATCCATCTGCATTTCTTCTGTTTCTCTGACAGTCACTGCCTTTTCATGTTGTCTGTCCTCTTAATGGAAGAATCAAGTTTAAGCTACAGACTTCAATTTTGCTTCTGCTGATGTTATGGCAGTATCCCCTGTACTATGAGCCTACAGACGACTGCCTGTTGTTTTGAAAATAGATTATTTCTATTCATTTATTTTGTTTTAAAAAATTAGAAACTAGAAACGTTACTGTTTTACTTTGTACCATCCTTTCAGTATTTGAGACCTCTCTTTGCTACGTTAAAATCAAGCACTGTAGAATAACTGAAGTATTTCCCCAAAGAAGAGTTCAACTTGCCTAGTTCTTAATCCTGTAATTACTTACGTATGCAGTTAAGAGTGAAAACACTTCCCTTGCAATCACATGGAGAAGGATGTGCTGAATCATGGCCTTTGCCATATAGGCTCAGTTTCTACATGTACTCCCATAAGTCACAAATAATAATGATCCTTTTATCTCCTACTTAAATGAGTATTGTATCAACACAATAGGTTTTGCAATGCAGGTTTTTACAGGAAACATTTTTTTGTTCTCAGTATTATCTGTCTGAAGGCAACGTATAGGAATATTTTCACCACCTGTTCAGTAAATATTGACTCAGCTTTTAGCCAAGCTTTTTGTTCTCCAAGTAAAAAAAAAAACAAGGTAGGAAATCCTATTGAATAAACTGCCAAACTCAGTGGCAAAATTCTCATTGGCTTCTGTGTAGATGAGGATTTCACAAGAAACATTTATGTATGTAACACGGGCTAGTTCTGGTAGTGTGAAGACTTACAGGTCACTCACAAAATAAAAAACATCAACCCAGCCATGCAGAACTATCAGAAATTGGTTAGACAGCCACACAAATCTTTTAGCTTTCTAGTCACACACACCCCTTCTCCAACTGCTTTTCCTGCTAAATAAATAAACCATAAAGAAAACCTTGAAAATACCAACTATCACCCATGTAGATTTTGTGAGGCTTGTATATAAAAATTATATATATAATATTTTTTTCTCTCAGTCCTCAGGCAAAATTGAAGCCAAGGCTGAAGACTAAAATGATTATTCATTTTTTCTTTAGAATACTGAAAAAAACCCTTTATATAAGTTATATTTATCCCTGTTAATACTTTATACAGAACATTCTGAAATAGATCCTGTGTACATTTCTGCTGTTTCGGGTTGCACATGTTGTCTTGCACTTTATAGATATGGCTTTCATTAAAACTGAAATAAACCTGATGCAGTTTTTACTCCGTGGGGTTTGGCCACTCTATTCCCCTGCTCCCCTTTATGTCTCAGTTGTACACTGCTTGACAAATGCTCTGTTTTGTGCTTCCCCACTGTTGGCATGCAACATCTTTAAAGATTCCAAAGAGCTAGGGAAGGAAAAAAGGCAACAGGTAGGTAATACAGCAGACGGCTCTGTCTCCAGCTAAACTTGTTCAGAGTAACAAGCAGTAAGATTGTATTTCTTCTGCAGAGTGCAGGTGGAGAGGCTGTGAATGAAAATAAATTTTTGAACACAGACTCCAGCACAGGATCAGCAGAAACTACGGTCAAGCCATTACCGTTTAAAGATCCAAACTTCATCGTAAGTATATTATTTTAACAATTTGAAATCTTAAACTCTTTCCATAAAACATTAAGTAGGATTTTATTTAACCATATTCCTAATGTAAATATTAAGAAAATCAGCTTAACAGCCAAATAAAAGGTTGACAATTTTTAAGAAATTCACCTCAAGTCCATGCTACACTAAGGGCCAAAGTGCACACTGATTATAGCATGAAAATGGCACTGGTCCAGAGGTAGAACTATTATATTAAATTCTGGCACAGGGTCAGAAAACCTGCTAGATCCAAGTAGGTGTGGAAGTTTTATGATGTGGTATCTCACAAACTACCACAGCTAGAGAGGAACAATTAATACCACTGTGAATGTAGAAATCCCATGTCAAGTTCCTAGCCAAGACAGGCTGCAAAGCAATTGAACTAGAAATCAGCCAGAGAGTCATTAGCAAATGGCATTTTGCTTCTCTTCTGGTTCCTGAAACTCTTCACAGACTCGTGGTGTCTTCTTCCAGTCACTGCTAGATTTAGAAGCAAGTGCTTTGTGCTCCCTAGAAGCCTGACAGCTGATGAAATACAGGCTCCTAAACACTCTTGAGGTTTAAACTGGGGGAGAAGGTGAAGGAAGATTACAGCTAGTAATGCTGTCACTGTTGGGATTGTTTTTAATATCTTTTTATCTTGCTGTGCCAAGGCCAACTCAGTGGCATACTGTACAAATGCTTTCTAGACAAGCAAACTTCTCAGCCTGCTGGTCCTAAGCCAGTACTTAGAAAGAAGGATTTTATCCCAGATTTCACTCTGTATGAATATGACACAATATCCCACAGCATAAAAGCAGAGTAATCGGGCATCGCACAGCTCACTAAGGACAGGTTTGGCAGGGGGTATAAAATTAATCTCTGACATGCAAGGCGCTCTACATCTGCTTTGCAGACAACTTCTGTCATGAGAGGGACATTCAAACGACTGTATACTTTGCTCACTAATCCTTCAGCAAGCACCAGCATCTTTGAGAAATGGAGCTTATTGGAAAAGCTCCTTTTATGCCCTGAGGCATTCCATGTAGCTTCCACATAGGATTTAAATAGCCATGAGGCCTTGTGCTGATCCTTCAGTTCTTAGAGGGATGTCACCATTTCCAAAGAGGCAATACTAATGTCTGTATGCTTGAAATAATAATGAATTTATGGGGCCTTTGGCAACTGCTGCAGAAATAATAGGCAGTTATAATAAAACCCATGAAATTGTCCTCTCCAATACAGTAACTAATTTGAGAAGAAATGCATTGAGTTTTAACTAGCAATTTGTCAGTATGACCTGGTAGTGTCAATTTGGATGATTTATTTGCATCCTTTCAGCCTAATTTGCCTTAAAAGGAAGAAAATAAATAATGTCTATCTCATTCATATTCCCAAGTTTGAACCATTATGATACTGCAGAGGATAGACTTAAGAGCAGAGAAAGAAGAAGAAAAAATTACCTTTTTCTAAACTTTCTGAATGGAATTTGCATCCCTTGGCAATGGGGAAGGGGAAGAAGATATTCTGACAGTTGTGCAGAGCAATAGCTGCTGCAGAGCAGTAGCTCCACCTGACCTAGCTCCAGCTTTCCCTGCACTTCATTAGTGCAGAAATAACTTGGTTCATGTGTGCTTGGCAGTCATTGCCTTTTCATGGTGGGTATGTGAGGTGATACTCGGCCCCATTCCTAGGAGGCACAGCAAGTGCATATAAAACCAATAGTTGCTTTTGAGAAACAAGATTCTGAATAAAAAATCATTACGCAATGATTTGGGGGAAAATTCATGTAATGAATTTGAACTAGTAATGTGGTAGTATATCTATTTTCATATCATATTGTAGTACTCTCTATTTTAGAATGATCTTTAGATTACTAAGGTGATACCCTCAGAGCAAACATTTGCTTCTACTTTCTAAATCAGATATCCATCACCAAAACCAAGTATATCATCAGCTCATGAGCATCTTTTCTGAATATACCTTATGTCTACCAAAAAAAAAGCTTTCTCATTGACTCCTTCCTCCAATCATTCTCAGCAATTTAACAGGTTAATTTACAAGCCAATCAGAGCAGGAGTGTGTTTGCAGAATTTCGCTGAGTTTCAATGAGACTCATGTGGCAGGCAGTAATTATTAACAGAAATAACAACTCCCCAATTGTAAGAACATTTTCTTTCCTGAAGTAAAGCTGTAAATCTGTGTCCTTTGATCATTTAGAAGTAGTACAGTATGTTGTGCAGCTTCTGTCTCTGGAGGGACATAAATAAATTACTCTGTAGCAATCACATTTGATAACTGAAGCTACTATTATAGTACCTGTGGCAAGCCTTCCATTAGTGTACCTTTCAAAATGCAAAATTGTCTTGGCAGCCAACATTCTATTTATAATTCTTTTTCTATTCCTCTGTCTTTTATCCTTTGAAACAAAAATAAGATTTCCAGAAAGTTTCTCATAGTATTCATTACCTTTCACAAGATCAGTCTTGTTTTGTACAGTCACAGATAATTTGTAGAAGAGCTAGAGCTGCACCTGTAATATGCCGTAGAAAGGAGAGAGAAAATTTAGCCGTATAATCACAATTTTAGACACAGCTTCATAGCAATAAGTTCTAATATGATGGGAAGTGCATAGAGAATCCTGTAATCTCGGGCTGAACTTAACCACATTGATTTTATATTTCCATGTAAAAAGCAGATTTTAATATCCTTGAGTTAATCGTAAATACATAAGCTTTGACACAGTCCAAAAAGCTTTGTTTCTCTTGCAGCCAAGATTAAAGTGTACAGTATATTAGCCTGATGATGAAATAAGTAAGGATAACAAATGGTTCATGACAAGATGAGACGTATCAGAAAGACTATGAAATACAAGTGTCACACTCTGAAATAGCATTCTTTATTTATTTTTTCTCTAAACACCATATTTTTAATTCTAGCACTCTGGCATTGGTGGAGCAGCAGCTGGCAAGAAGAACAGAACTTGGAAGAACCTAAAACAAATTCTTGCTTCTGAAAGGGCATTGCCATGGCAACTAAATGATCCTAGCTGTAAGCTGCTTAGACGCTTTGCATGTATTTATAAATAATAGAATCCACACAAATAACTTTCTTTAAAACAAACCTAAATTATTTCATCAGTGCTTGCAGTATCCTGCTTGAACAGCGTCCAGTAGTACACTTAAGACTAGTCCAATCACACTTGCCAGCCCTAAGTGGAGAGTAGGGGGAGGCAAATAATTTGGAGTATTGTGACTAAATTCAAATACATCTGGGGAGAGAGTTTAATAAAGGAAATGTATTTATCCAAACCAGGTCAGAAACCCCTTATTCCCATCAGATTTTTGTCACCTCTTCACTGCTTAGGAGCCTCCTCTTCCTCCTCCTTTACATATAGCCCAGAGGTCTTCTGATGGGTGGCTATTGCTTGATTACCTATATCTGAACTATTTTCAAATAGATTCTGCTAAGCCACATACCTGCAGTAGCTTAGACCTCAGCCCAAGCTTCCTATCCAGCTCCTTTATCCTAGATTCTTGAGAGATTTAAATCCTACATCCCCTCTTTAGTACAGCACAGCTGAAACTACACTATTAGCAGTCCTGATTAGCAGTCCTAGCTGGTGTACATCCACAGGAGCAGAGTAACAGCAATGGTCTTAATCTAGATATACTTCAAGTCAACTTGTAAAGTAGGATACTATTGAACATAGCTGCAGGCAGAATGTGATCCTCAGGTTTTACTTAACAAGTGGAGGCATTTCAGAATTGAGCATATGCATACACTTTTTGTCAGACTTGGTGCTTTATCCAAAAATAGCTTGACATTTTTTGAAGTGTTTTAGACGCAACTGTTACAGAAAAATGCAGACTACTGTGTGTTCCTGGCTATTGTAACTGACAATCTGCTGATGTTGCTATTCCTACTACGCTCTGTTTGCAACCATAAATTTACAGGATTTTTTTAAGGAGGGGAAAGAAACTCAGTTTTGTATTTAAAAAAACATCTGTCTGTGGCATTAGGATCTTTTGAATTACGAGATGATGAGTTAGAAATTTGATATGGATGGAGCATTTGAATTGGTCATAGCATCTGAATGAGTTGCAAGTGAGATCAGGAAAGAGGAAATAAATGAGTCAGGTACAAGATATTTTTGTAAACATCCAAAATTGAAGATTTAACTACTTAAACATACCAACAGTATCTTAAAAAATGTTTATGAATGAGAGTTGCCATCTTAAGGGCACCAAAGAACAGCAATTTCCGTCACTTAATTTTAAGCATTCAGACAATTTTCTAGGTCATTGACTGGGCTTAAAGTGGTACATGCTTAAAGATTTAACTGATTTAAAAGATTACTTTGCTTTTCTGGATTATAGTATTTCAGAGCTGCAATCTTGAGCAATGTTTCATGGTCTTGACATACAGCATGCATATGATAATGCCTATTCTTTGCACATGACTGACTGCAAGGGAATTAATTGAGAATTCATTAAGAAATCAACACAATCCAAATACCTCTCCCATTTTTCCCTTTGGGGAGGGCAGTTCTGCTTGCTGAACTTGTATTAGAGAGGTGAGCAGGATCAGGCTATATGTTTTCAGAGGTAATTCTGCTTCATATTTGTTTGCCTTTCTGTTGCTAGTAATAGAGACCTCAGAAGTAAAGGCAGCATTTTAAAGCAGTATGGTTACCTATTTACATTTTAGGTTCATGTATTAAAATGGACATAACACACTGACTTTATCTGTGTGATTTTCTCTAGATTTTAATATTGATGCTCCTCCTTCCTTTAAGCCTGCCAAGAAATATTCAGACATTTCAGGACTTCCGGTGAGTATTTTATTTTCCCCTTCAAAATTAGCATCCCAGTTTCCACAGTGAAATAGTGCTGGTGCATGCTTTTGTAAAAGATGTACGTGCTGAGGTTCCTATTCAGCCTTGGGCTTAATACAGTGATTCAGGGCCAAACCCCAAATGCTGTCACTACATCACAAAATGCTTAGGTTGTTAATAATGTCAGGACAGATTAAATACTTTGTTCTGCCAGGTGGCTACTGTGACTCCACTTTCTCAGCTCTAGAATGTACATTGGTTCCCATCATTCCTAATTCTTTAGATTCTTGCAGTGAAAGCTGCTAGTCCTCGGTCTCCGTGACTGCTAACTTTGCCAAGCTACAGCCACACTGACTCAAACTTTCCACACTGAGTGTTTGCCTGAGGCTGATTTATTTCACTGTATATTATAGAGAAAGTTTAGAAAAGATGGCTCAGCAATTTCCAATAATGAGATTAGGCAAGATCATATTTATTGGCCCACGTTACAAAAAAACCCTTGTTATCACTGCTCTCAAACTTTTCCTCAAACAAATCAGCTTGAGACAGACGTTTGGCATAGACTTTTGAGAATTTCAAATACTCCCATGCTTCAGAGCTGGAACCTGGAGATTGGCAAATGTATAGCCTGTGTGTCACAGATGGGCACTTGTACATGGTTTTGTTAAAGAAAAAGAAAAAAACAAACCAACAACCCCACATTTGACTTAGATATGGTTTGCATATGCTCCAAAAAGTCTTGGTAGTTACAACTTGGTGCCTGCATTCCCCAGAGATTCTGTTGGCACAAAACAGCAGTAAAGTAATTGAATTCCGCCCAACAAAAATTTTGTATCTGCTGCTGAAACTGTTCCTATGTGACATGAATAATTTTATTTAAAACAAAACAGGTGTTAGTAACAGCATATCTTTTCACTTTTCACCTTCAGCCCCCAGTGATTTATTTTGCAGAAGCCTGTGCATTTATTACAACTGAAAAGAATGGGAAAGTTGTATTTTTTACTAAAAAATGCTTAAGTAATGGTTACACTAAGTAACTACAATAATGAAACTTTGTAATGCCAAAAAGCCTTAGACATTTTCTGTCCTTCCCTCAGTTTAATCTGTTTGATCCATAGGGCACTAGCCCATCTCCCACCTTGGTATGACCTCCCAGACATACCTTTAAAGGTACACATTTGTTATGCTGATGCAGGTTGATATATCAACTTGCATCTATACACTGAATTAGGTGAAAATCCTCATTAGGAAACAAAATGGATGAGCACTTAACTAAGTACTAGATACACAGTGTAAGGCATCAAAGACTAGCTGTAGCACCAACTGTAATCCTGCACATCCTAGCATTCCAGTTCTTGATTTGGTAGCATATGTTTTCTTTGACTTTTTTATTTTTAAGTAACACATTTAAATAAGGCACCTAGGAGGTGGCATGTTTCCAGCCTGTGCCTCTGAATGTGATTTGGAAATGGAGTGGGTTGCTCAGATAGAGGCTGGTAACCCTTCGTGCTCAAGAGGGAATGGGAAAACAACATTTCCCTCATAGATGAACTGGCAGACAGCAAACTGAAAAGACTGCTCACAAACCCAGAGAAAATAATTCCCTCCAACCAGGCAGACTTACATTCTTGTCTTTGTAACAGTATTGCTTTGATATAATAGCAGCTTGTTGTCAGACAAGGAGCAGGGGTGAGTTGAATAAGGCACTTTTCACAAGTACCCCTGCTCTATCTAAAGATGAGGTGGATGGAGGAAAGGAGGCATGTGAAAAGGTGGGCATATGAAATAATAATGAGTAGATTTCACCAAAATAGCAAAAATTCTATACTGGGTCATTTGATGGTGTTCATCTTTTTCCTATCCTCCCCCATTAGACTTGCTTTGTAAGTGTTTGTGGCATTCACACCAGATGTTATTAAGTTGCTGGAATATCTCTGATCTGTTTGGGGCTAGGCAGCCTCAAACAAGGGGCATAGAGGCATAAAGGTCCTTTCACAGTCCCATCTCCGGGGAACCAAATAATGCTTTCCAGTACTGACCTTTGATGCATTTCAGAACTAGTCAGTCCTTGCACCTGTAGCAAGCTGATAATGGAGGATATAGATGTGAGCAGAGACCACGTTCCTACCAGCTAAGGGTCAGTTTAGCCATAGGAAGTTAAACTCTTTCAGTTCCTCAACTTTTCTTTACCAGCTCCTCCTTCCCATCAGTGATTTATGTACTCTAACTATTCTATCTAGGTATAAATACTCTCCTTTCTATACAAACCCATTCAGTGCTGCTTTTGTTTTCTTTTTTTTATCTTTCCTCTCTTTTTTTCTTAATTTTCCATCCTCTAATTGCTTTGTGAGTCAAGTTTCCTATTTTACCTGGCCTGCAAGGTTTCTCCAGACTATGATAAAATTACCGTGTTTAAAAAAATCTTTTTTACCAAAATAACCAAGACAGTGTGTCCTTTAAATTGCTAGGCTAGAAATGTTTCATAAGAAGCACTAAATATGCTTTCAAGATCATTTCCTAGCAAGAAGATATGTGGGACAATAGAATATTTCAGAAATCCAGTATTAGAAAACTGTTGCTGTATTTTCTATGTAAAATCTAAAAGCGTTTGTGTAGGAATATATATTCTGTGGGAATGCTGGATTCCCCATGGATGGGGGTGAGTGGGGAGGAAAATAAAATAAATTCCTCAGCATTACCTATTTAGGGAAGAATTAAATGGTCTAGCAGGTACAAGAAGAGAAGTGTATTAAACCACTCTCAATCAGTATACTTGCACTTATATTAAATTCCACAATTAAATTGTACTGATCCTCTTCTCCTTCTGTGTGTAACACAATTGGAATTAAATCTACCAATGGTCTCATCAGACCAGCCAATTTATATTTGTGAGGCAGCCTCGAATTCAAAAGCTGTTATCTACTATATTGACACTGCAAAATAAAACTATTACTTCCAAACTTGCATGAGTATTTAGATATTTTAACATGCAAAACAGATTAATTTATTGCAAAACAGATTAAAAAAAACCCCAAACCTTCAAATGTTTATATTTCTCTTCCTTTCCTGAAAATGGATCGGCCCTGTTACTATAGAAACAGATTGAGATAACTAGTTTATTGTGTTTTAAGAGCATGTATCTGTGGCCTTTGACTTAGTTTTTAAACATGACAGAGTTTTTTCTTTGCAAAATCATCTCCCTTCAGTATTCTAATCTGTTTAATTATTGCTGAAGTATCAGCAAAGTTTGTTTTCAGACTGAAGTCATGGCATAAATTAATGGTTACCATACACTAGTGTCTGCAAACAGTACAGCCCAATACAAAGTATCAGGATGAGGAAGATCTGCCATAATATCTTTAACTTAGATGGATGCGCAGTGCAAATTGCAGATATTTGTAATGAACTTTCCTAGTTCATTACAGAATAATGCACATTTGAAAAGCAGTCTAATTGGTCAGCTTTTTCTTACACGAGGCCAGATGTAAAGTGTGAAATAAAAATAAATGTAAACCTGCTATAACCATGAAGTCACCATCAGGGATAAATTCACTCCTAATGTTCTAACTTGGCCATTTGTTTGAAAATTAATTAATGGTTTGACTGTTAGCTGGCTACATTTAATTAACCTGGTGGTATTTCTTTGTAAGAAACAAGCTACAAAGAACACCAAATTTTCTGAGTCATATCAGACCAAATGATTAACTGGATTGTTACCATGGTCAACAGGTGCTTTCCAACACACAAATGGTAGAGGGGTCTCCACTGTAACAGTATGGATGAAAGGAATACTCTGGCTCTTCATGGCCTGTTCTGTGGCAATGTCACAAGGGATCTCAACTGCTTGTGCCTTGCAGCTTGTCACCATCTCATGTCAAAGAAAGGTGCAGAAGACACTTTCAGAGCCTTGGCAGGCACTTGGTAATCCAATGCTGAACAGTCAGGGATTGTCCTGGAGGCTAAAGGTGGAGAAGCAATACCCTGAAGCCTGCCTTCTCCCAGCACAGCCCCCTGGCCTACCCCTGAGCTCACCCGAGCTCCAGGTTTCTGTAGCAACAAGGAAGGGGAGAGGATAGAAAGAAACTGGCACCTTTCCCAGGCACCCGGGGTCCAAATATAGCAGAGGATACAAGCATGGTCCAGGGTTAGCTGGCCAGGCTGCTCTCCTGGAAGCAGGCATCTGGAGTAAAACACAACACTGAGCTCAAATTTCTTATCAGTTCAGTCACAGAACCATAAGCTGAGAGTCCCTAGCTTTAACAACCACTTTAAAGTAAATTAAAAGCTAAGTTGTATGCAGCAACAGAAGAGCATTCCAAAGCTATCAGAGCACCCATAATTCAGCCTCTTTGTGGGTAATTTATTGGCAGCAGCCGGACTCTTTGGAGAGCTGCCTTGAGAGAGACTGCACAAGGCACAGAGTTGCTAGGGTGAGTTTAGAGAGTTGAGGAATTTCTTTTGCGCCATGTTTTATGAAACTTACTTCAGCCCTCTGTTATGTTTAATGCATTTCTAATGTGATTTTATAGGGGGCTGTTAACTTCTCATAAGTCATGACATGAGGAGAAATAAAAAAAGACAAACTTTTGGTCAGTGCTGTTACTGGGAAAAGAAACTCACTATTTTGTGGTCTTGTAATTAATACGCTTTTTTTACTATTATGGTTCGAGATTTTATTTGAATAGTGTCTCTACCATTGTTTCTTTTTCAGGCAAATTACACAGATCCCCAGAGCAAGCTAAGGTTTAGTACTATTGAAGAGTTTGCCTATATTCGGATGCTCCCTTCAGATGTGGTTACAGGATACCTGGCTCTAAGGAAAGCAACGAGTATTGTTTCCTGAAGAGACTAAATATTTTTGTATATTGCTTGTGAACAGTGCTAGTTTTGAGTACCATGATGGAAACTGACTGAGGTTCTTTAAACTTATCCATGGATTTTTACATCTGGAAGTAGTTGATGATACATGCATTTGAAGAACATATGGGTTTAATTTTCATAAATGCTGATATTTGTTAGTTTGCCAATTTGTTAGCAATTTGGTTTGGTGAACAGAATAACTTAAACCTTAAGGATATGTATCTGTACCATAATGTCTCACTTAGATTAATTTCTGTAGAGACAGGATTTCATCTCCACCCTCTATATTTTATGTACTGCCCTGGCTCAGAAGAAACCATCATTTGAATTCAGGAGAAGGTACCAAGATATCCAAGCATCTAAATCTGTCTTACCAGATGCGTTTGCCACTTACTTGGCTATGAAGAAGTTTGTCCTATCTGTAAAATGAAACTAAAATACCTACAAGTGTTGCTATTGTGATGACTATTTATGGTACTGAGCACTGTGGAAATGAACAGCTTCACACAAATATTTGCACTGAACTACTGTCAACATAAATAAAGTTGGGCTCAGACTTGTTGGTAAAATATCCTAATGAATATGCATAACAGGATCAAATCAAATCACTGGGTAACTCTTAATTGTTATACTTTGCAGTTTTTGAGTGCTTCATTTCACAATCTGATTAATCTTCTACCTTTCCTAGTTAGTACAATATCAGTACTAAATAGTATCTTAAAAAGTACCTATTTCCCAGACTTTTTTAAAAAAATGCTGAAAAATGGGAGTTCCACTATCCACTGGCATTCTGAAACCCAGATGGTCTTCACCAAGGCAAGACCTTCTACATTAGGGCACTGAACTTAGCACCTTGAGATACCAAAAGAACAACTGATATAGCAACTGAATATTGTCACACTTTAAAGGAAAGAGGCTGAAGGAGAGTTTGGAGTCTTGGTGGGGAGATAGCTGACAAGTACATGCCAACATCAGAATGACCATGACTTCCTGCAACTAAGTCTAGGGGCAGGGGAGCAGAGGGTCTTCTGCTCATTCTTTCTTCCTGTCCTCTTTCTTACAAGCTGCTAATTTGATGTTTTCCCACTTCTCAGTCTTTGTCCCAGTCTTAGACCCTTGTCAAGTTGTAATCTTGACTCCCAAGTTCAGGCTCAACTGTGCCTAGCCTCTAATCACACAGCCTTCATGCTCATCAACTGCCCTGTAGTGGTGGCACTTCCTTCCCTTGTCTGAGTGTTAGTCTGGAAGGTTGCTAGACAAGTTACCACTTGCTGTGGGATTGCTCTTTTCCCATGTGCAAAACTGCCAAGTGGAAGACTTGCCCCATAGCTTGTTAGTCCTGGGCTCCCCAGGTCACTGAGGAGGTGAGATGCTGATCATGGGACAACAGTCCTGTCTCGCCCAAGGTCCATCATGGACAGTGGGATCTTGTGCAAGGCACACTCTTCTCTCTGACTGCACAAGCAGCACACAGCAGTGACTAGTTAGTGTCTAATAGACATAATAATGATTAAGATTTTTTTTCTCATTGAAAGAATAAATATTCAGGGTATTATTACTGCTAGTTTAATTTCAACTCCAAAACATGAAAGGCAATAACAGGATACATTGTTTGATGAAAGTTGGTGGGACTCATTTCTCGTTTTTTGTGATCTAATATTGCCAAAAACAAATTATAAAGTCTTTGACGTGCTTACAACAGATCCTTCAAAGCCCTAGATATCAGATAATGCTACAACTGTATCACAGTACGAAAAATAATAAGACAGGATATCTCTCTGCATGCCAGTAAGCATCCAAGCTACACTCTTTTTGCATTCAAGTTCTATAATTGATGCTTTAAACTTACTTTATATATGGAAGATGTGTTTATAAGATAAGCTTAACATTGATAGGAAAATAAAATACATAGAACTGCTGTAAGATCATTTTAGTTTTAAACAAGCAGACGGCAGCTCAGAAAAATTGATTTCACATGCTTGTTCTCTCCCACAAATATTTTTAGCATTCTTTGGGAATGACTGTGTAGGAACCTAGGCTCCCCCACAATCAGAAGTGCCTCATGCACTCCTGTGCTGTATATTAAGATGTTGCTTCTCAGCTAATTTCTACTGTGCAGCTTTTATGCATTCCATTTTCAAAATCTAAGTGTCTTGCTGAATAAATCAGCATTGGAAAAATAAATACAGCTTAGATATTAGTGACTCTTCTCTCAATGCTCTGTATCCATATGATGGCTGCTAAATTCCCTTTTCTTCCCTTCCTTGTTTCTTCCTTTATTGACCTTTTGTTCCTTGTCTGTAGTACCTCTCTTTTACTCATTAGGCTACGCAGTAGTCAAGCCAAGAGCGATGAATCAGCCACCAGCACCATTCAGCATTACATCAATCAACAACAGTTTACTATGTGGAACAGTTAAAACAAATTTGTTTTAGCAGGAAACTGAGGACAGAACAGATCTAGTGGCCAACGTGTACAATGGTCCAGCTGGGTTGTTTCTGGGAACAGCATGTGAACCTGCTGCTCTCATCAATACCTTCTATGAGAGAACTGAGAAATACCTCCCTTGCTGTATATAAGAGAAAATATGGATAAGTGAAGAGTTTATCTATGCCGTGGAGTAGTTTTAAAGTGTTTTATTGACAGCTTTAGAAGAAATGAAAATTGAGAAGTACATTTATATGTAAAAGTACTTACGGGGCTGTTATCTAGATAAAGATACGTAAGTTGAATTTAAATTGAAAAGAGGACAAAAGAAAGGCATTTGAAAAGAGCAGCAATGAATACCATTTCAGACTTGGGGAGAATGTGTTTTGACTAATAGTACTGCCACATCTATGAAGCAGAAAGCCAGAAGTCAGGGTGGGTGGAATCTGGTCCAAGTACTATCTGGGAAGTATCACCTGAATGCATTACTTAATACAGACCACAGATGGCTTCAACCTCAGATGCATTTGCATTAATATGTTCCCCTGCCATCCCCCTGTAACAGCTTAGAGCATGCCAGTTGCTAAGCTCCCACAGAAATCCCACTGACATTAATGGGAAGTGAGCTTGTCCAGCAACTCACAAGGTGCTGTCCAACTGGCAGAGCTTTAGCCTTAGCCTTTTTGGCAGGTGCAAAGCATATTTTCCTTGCCTCATCTGTCCTATCCCAGAGGCCAAGCTCCTGTTTTCCTATGCAGCTACCTGCCCAACACACACCACTGGTCCAGCAAACACTGGAGATGGGTGGTCACCTCTAGTTTACTGTGGGGGTTTCAGTTTTTATTTAAGACTGTAGTAGCTTGTATTTACACCATACGCTGGGTGGATCTGCTTGCTGTCGAAGGCCTGGACAAAGCAGGCAACTGCCTCTGCCACCATCAGCCCCAGGGCAGCAGAACCACCATAGCTGAATAGCCTGGTGTGGCAAGAGCCCTGGTGCTGCAAGGATGCTATGCTGAGCTGGGTCAGGGGCTGGGTCACGTGGGGCTCTGAGACTGTGGATCCAGCTGCTCCCAAAGGAAGGGGTCTCCTGGGAGTGATGAGAGGGAATGAAGATTTCAACACCTGCAGTTGCTGCCTCCATGCTCTTAAGTGGATGGGAAACCAGGGTGCTGGAGATCTAGGGCTCTTGCCCTGATTATTTGCTGCTGGTTCATACAGCAGGTGTGTACCCATGGAAACTTCCTGCCCCAGCACTTCCCTCTGCTGCATACGTACTAGGAATGACCTTGGCCCCACTGGAAACCAGCAAAATTCAATTCAGAGAGGCCTTGGGCCAGGTCATTTTGGAGCCCTTGCATTTCACTGTCCTGTATTTCCTGGCTTTCTCCCATCATAGCCTTCAGAATCCCTAGGGAGTTGCTATATATGCACTTCTGTGGAGGGCAGGAGTATCAGGCACACACAAGATGTGCCTCGATCTTTGACAGAGGCCTGTAAGTGTCAAACCCCACCAAACCACAAGAAAATGAAGGTAAGCAAAGAGGAGGGCTTTTTACTGGTGAAAAAAAAGTCAAAGGAAAAATTAACTAATATAAGCTTAAAAAGGTTTTTCTGAGTCCACTCTGTAAAGAAAAAAAGCTCAAAAAGTATGATTACAATCTTTTCCCAGAAGGGCTGAGTAATCTTCAATAGATTCATACAACAATAATTTATTACTAGAAAACTTACCAAAGGGTTTTAAGCCTCATAAAATCTTTAACAATGTACATGGTTTACATACCCAAAACAAACAGCACAGTTTTTCTTTCTGAATCACTTTGAGGCAGAAGTCTTTCACAGACTGGATGTCAGGTTCTGGCAGAAAAACCCTGACTTTGTGCTCTTTTAATCAGGAAGAGTCAAGCAGTATCTGTATTGTTACTGAACACTGAAGTCACACTAAGCTGATCATACCACTAATACTAGAATTCACAGAAAATCCTTCATATTTTTCTCATTTCAGTATGTGTCCCCCAAAGAAAGACCACTTTGCCTGTTGGCAAGTGAATGGGTGGAACTTACTCAAATAATACCTCTTCAGGAAAGAAAAACATTCTGGTTAAGTCCATTTGGTATCTGTAAGTACTGATTGACTAGTTTCTGTATTATTTGAGAAGCTTACTAAATCCAGTATTTTCAGATGATTACTGTAAATCACAGCCTATAGACATCAATAACACTAATCTCTTGGGAGAGAGAATAACAACTAACAAACACTGTTTAAACTACTAGTAAGTTGTGCCTGTGTAATTGCACATGGTTTATAACCTGTGAGGTCACATGTGTACAGAACATTGCATTCTCTGACACTGTAGCCTAAAATTAATAATCTGTATATAAAATACGTAGTACTAGTTGACCAGACAGTAAGTTGGTGCTGGGGCTGGCTATGGTTACTGTTTGCCAGCTTGTTCTCTGATTAAGAGCTCCCCTCAGCTAGCACATGCTGACTGCTGTGGCTCTGTTATTTGACTCCAGTGCACCCAGCACAGTACTCCAGAAAACTGCATCTGG